CGACGACGACGACGACGACCCCTCATGCGGAGCGTTCTAGCCAGAATCTCGAGAGGAACCCGGCCGTGGCGCCGAGAACCCCTCCTGGGGGCCCGCACGGGCCCGAGTACCCGTGGCGATGAGGAGCCCTCCTGGGGACCCGCACAGGCCCGAAGGCCTCCGAAGACCCCGAAGACCCCGAATACCCCGAGCCCCGAGCCCCGAGCCTCGGACCTCGCACCCCGATCCTCGAACTTTCATCCTCCGTCCTCGAGCCTCGGCCCTCGACCCTCGGCCTTGGACCCTCGGCCCTCGACCTCCGACCCCCCCCGAGCCCCGCGGTGGTGCTGGCTTGCGGCTGCTGCTCGCGTCTGGGCGGCGTCGGTTCCGCGCTGCACAGGCCGTGCTCGGCGTAGAGCCGAACGGCTCTTGAGGCCAGCCCCCCCACAGCATCTCCTGGGGCTTCCCGGAAGAGTTCTGCTCATCCCCCGTGCCCCCCATCCTGGGGCCCTCCACCCTCGATGCCCGAATCCGTCGAACCATCCAATCCCTCGAGTCCCGACCCCTCGACTCCTCGACCCCTCGAACCCTCGAGCCCTCGAGCCCTCGACCCCTCGACCCCTCGACCCTCGACCCCTCGACCCCTCGACCCCTCGACCCCTCGACCCCCCGAGCCCCCGACCCCCCGACCCCCCGAGCCCTCGACCCTCGAGCCCCCAGCTTCTCGAGCCCTCGAGCCACCGTCCCCTCGACCCTCGCCCCCGGACCCTCGAGCTCCGAGCCCCCCCCCAGCCCTCGATCCCTCGAGCCCCCCCCAGCCCTGGAGGCCCAGAGGTCGTCGTCGTCGTCGTCGTCGTCGTCGTCGTCGTCGTCGTCGTTCGCCTCAGCTCTCGACCCCTCGACCCCGACAGCCCCGAGGCGGCGGGCGGCGGCCTGTCCTTCCGGGCGGCGGCGGCCGCCCTGCTCTGGGCCGCCCCCGCCCCCGCGCCGCTCCCCGCGGGCCGGGGGGTCCGAGGTGTTCCTGCACTGGTCTGAAGTCGGGCCGGTCTCTCTGCAGGAGGGGTGCTCAAAAACCGTCAGGAGGCGGTCAGGGGACGATTTTCGGAGTATCTTTGAATTTTTTTTGATCATAACCAGGGCCCTTTTCGGCTCCCCCCCCTCGCGCGGACAGTAACAATTTACAGTAGGAAGCAGACAGCAGTACTGTAACAATGGAAACTGGAAGTTGGAAACTGGAACTGGTGCAGGGAGCAGCAACCTTAATCCTCGCAGCCTGATGGCCCCGCAAGGGGGCCGGCGGACTTATAGTTTTTCGGTCAAGGTCCCCCTGGTGGGAGGACACGCCCGGCCTGGCACTGGTTCCGGCCAGCAGGGCAGGCCAGGCCTCGGGCGGGGCCAGGGCGAGGATACGCCCCGCCCTCTCCGGGGCGTGCCGGAAGGCTCTCGGAGAGTTCCTTTCCGGAGCGCTCCGAGAAGGCCGCGGCGCCCGGGGTGTCCTCCAGAGTCGCCGGATCTCAGAGACTCTCGACTTATCCTCACCCGAATTTGTCCCTGTTTCGGCCTCGTCTGGAAGTTCGAGATTCTGGGTTCGGGACGTTTCTTTGGGGGGGGCCTCATGGGGGCCGTTTTCGGGTCCTGGGACGGTCAGAAACGGATCTGGGGTGAAAAGCTGCACCAGATGGACATATGGACCTTGAGAGGGGTCCGGGGACCGATTGTGATCGGATTTGGCTTCATTCCCTTTCCTCAACCAGTTCAGACCCCCCAGCCGCTTCCAAACAGGGATAACTCGTTCCAGAGCGGGATGGGGTTGATCGGGCGGGCCCACCCTGACATCCTCTCGTCACGAAGGAAATACGACGGGGGGCTGTTGCCAATTTGCGGACTCCCGGAGCCTCACCTGGCCCCAGGGCCTTCAGCAAAACGACTCGGGATGAGAAGCTGGTCCCAGGGAAGGGGTCCAGGCCTCTGGGGAGCCACGATGTGCAACCACTGCGACGTCGGGTGTCTGGGCTGTGACAACTCGTTCCAGAGCGTTTTGGGACGCTCTCAGGGCGCCTCAGAGCGCTCCGAGAAGGCTGCGGCGACCGACATGTCCTCCAGAGCTCCAGGAGCCGCCGGATTTGAGAGGTCCCCGATGTGTCATGGTCCGAGTCTGTCCCCGCCCTGGCCTCGTCTTTTAGGACGAGGTTCCTGGGAGGTCAAATTCAGAGTTAGCGCTTGCGTATCCCTGGTCGAAAGAATCTCTAATCCGGCTGAGTTCCGCTCAATCAGGCTTAGTCCCGCTGACTCTGGCGCAATCCCGCTCAATCCGACTCACTGTAGGGCTTATTTGATCCGGCCGAGTGTGGCTCAAAGGCTCCTCAATCGGGCTTCATTGCCCTGACTCGTTCTGGCGAAGACCTCCCAGGAGTTGCCTCCTATCGGTACGATCGACATGGGTACGGAAGGACAGGGTATAAAGACCGACAGTTTTTGTTTCGGAAGCGAGCCCGGGTGGAAGCGAGAAGGGTCGGGCCTTCTCAGAAGGTTCGGAAGGCTTCAGGCCTTCTGAGAAAATGTTGTGAGACTTCCCCGAAGACACGAGACACTTCTCAGACGGCCTGATGGCTTCTGTGAAGCCCCGCCGCCTATGCCTGCTCCTTCTCACTTCCCTCCAGGCTCGCCGCCGATTGTTCACATTCTGATCAGGACTCGCTGTCGGTGTCGCCGCGGACGGTGCCCATTTGAGACAGAAGGCCGCCCGCCCAACAGCGGCCGCTGTCGCCTTTGGACAACCTTGGCTGTTGGACATCGTGCCAATTTTTTCCAGTATCCAGGTCTCGAATAGGAGATCGCGTACATAATTGATTCACTCCATACTTGTTGTCTCGTTGAATCTACAAAACATGCGTAGACTGTTCCGTAGATCTACGGAGCATTCTACATATTTTCCGCATCGCCGACGAGCCCATCAATTGTTGACGCTTCGCGTATCCCCACCAGCCCATCCAGAAACGATGCCCAGGGGAGTTGACGTGATCAGGGAAGTGGGGGAGCATGCAGAATGACAGAAGGCGGTGGAAACCGTCCAAGGTGGGGGAGGGAGAGGAGGGAGGAGGGAGGAGGAGTAGGCGGATAAGGATGATGATGATGATGATGATGATGATGATGATGATGATGATGATGATGATGATGATGATGATGAGGATGAGGATGAGGATGAGGATGAGGATGAGGATGATGATGATGATGATGCTGATGATGATGATGATGATGATGATGATGATGATGATGATGATGATGATGATGAGAAGGAGGAGGAGGAGGAGGAGGAGGAGGAGGAGGAGGAGACGGAACAAGGGACGAACATAAGAGCCTCCTTGGATGTCTCTTGTTTTTTTGTTGGAGGCCTCTTGGAACGTCTGGGGGCATCTTGGGTGCCTCGAGGAGAATCCTCTTGGTGGCCTTTTGGGGGCCTCTTGGGGGGCGTTTTGGGAGCCTCTTGGGCGTCTCTTGGGGCCGTCTGGGCGCCTCTTGGGGCCCTCTGGGGCGCTCTTGGGTGCCTTGGGAGCGCTCTTCGGGCCGTCTTGGAGGACATCGATCAAAAAAGGGGGTTCCTTAATTACCCTCGCCATTCTAGAGTGCCTCAAATTCCCTCATGGGCCCCTCTGGGTGCGCTCTTGGAGCGCTCTTGGGCGCTCTTGGGGCCGTCTTGGGGCTCTCTTGGGCCTCTCTTGGGCCCCTTGGAGCCGGCCTCGGAATGCCATCAGAGGCGAAAAGGAGAGAAAGTAACACATATGGATTTTCCTCCGGTTTTGGACGGATTTCGGCCTCTTTGGGGCCTGGGGCCCTCTTGGGGCCGTCTTGGGGGCTTATTGGGCCGTTCTGGGGCCATCCTGGAGGCCTCTTGGGCGATCTTTCTGGGCTCTTGGGCCGTCTCGGGCCGTCGGAAGGCCGAAAAGCAGCGAATGTCAAAATCCTTTAAGGAGAGTCAATGATTTTGGCCTCTTCGGGCCTTCCTGGAGGCCCTCTTGGAGGCCTCTGAGGCCGTCTTGAAGACCTCTTCTGGGCCTCTTGGGCTGTCTTGGACTATCTCAGAGCCATCTTGGCCCGTCTTGGTGGCTCCTGGCCTGTCTGACGCCGTCGGAAGCTGTCTTGAGGGCCTCTCTGGGCCGACGGTGCCCTCTTGGGGTGCTCCAGGGCCCATCTTGTTGGGCGTCTTGGAGGCCTCTTGGGCCGTCTTGGGGCCCTCCTGGTGCGGTCTTGGGGGCCTCTTGGGCCGTTCTGGGGCAATCTTGGAGGTCTCCTGGGCGATCTTGTGGCGTAGTCTTAGGCCATCTTGAGGCCATCTTGGGCCGTCTTGGGTTCATCTTGGGGCCATTTTGGCCGTCTTGGAGGCCATCTCGGCCGTCTTGGAGGCATCTTGGAGGCCATCTTGACAGTCTTGGAGGCCATCTGGGGCTTCTTGGGGGCCTCTTGGGCCGTCTGGGGGCCTTCTTGGGGCCGTCTTGGGGGCCTCTTGGGCCGTCCTGGGGCCGTCTTGGAGGCTTCTTGGGTACTCTTGGGGCGATCTGGATGGCCTCTTGGGCAGTTGGGCCGTCGGAGTCCGAAAAGGAGCAAAAGCCCAAATCCTTCAAAAACCAATGGAACATCAATGATTTTGACATGTTCGGGCCGTCCTTGAGGACCCTGGAGGACCTCTTCGAGGCCCCTTGGGCCGTCTTGGAGGCCTCTTGGAGGCCTCTGGGGCAGTCTTGGGCCGTCTTAGAGGTTCCTTGTGCGAACTTGGAGGCATCCTGGACTCTCTTGGGCCGTCTTCGAGGCCATCTTGGACCATCTTGGGCGAACTTGGAGGCCATCTTGGGCCATCTTGGCCATCTTGGAGGCCTTGGGGACCATCTTCCGTATCTTCAGAACCTTTGGGGGCTTCTTGGGAGCCAATCTCGCCGTCTTAGAGCGTTTCTCACCCGTCTGATGCCGTCGGAGGGTATTTTGGGGGCTGTCGGAAGACGGAGAGAAACGCGCCCGAAACCTTCCAAACTTTATGGAAAAGAACTGATTTTGGCTCTGGCGGGCCTTCCTGGAGATCCTTTTGGAAACCCCTTCGGGTGTCTTGGAGGCCTCTCGGAAACTTCTTGGGGCACTGTTGGGCTCTGAGGGCTTTCTGGGAGCCTCCCGGGGGCCTTTTGAAGGCCTCTTGGGGGGCCTCCTTGCGCCTCTTGGAGGCATCTGGGAGCTCTTCGAGAGCTTCTTTGGCCATCTTCGTGCGTTCCTGGCCCGTCTGACGCCGTCGGAAGCCGTCTTGGAGGCCTCTCTGAGCCGATTTGGGACCCTCTTGAACCGTTTCAGAGCCGTCTTGGACGCAATCTATGGCGCAATGGAGGCCTCTTGGATCGTCTTGGGGCCCTCTTGCGGCCGTCTTGGAGGCCTCTTGGGTCGCCACGGCGCCGCCATCGTGGAGGCCTCTTGGGCGATCTTGGAGCTATCTCGAAGGCATCTTGGACCGTCTTGGGCCGTCGGAAGGCTGAACAAAAATGGAAATGCCAAAATCCTGCAACATCCTATCGACGATCGCAGATTTTGTCTTTCTTCGGCCCTTCCAGGAGACCCTCTTGGAACCCTCTGGAGCCGTCTTGGAGACATCTTGGGACAATCTTGGGCCACCTTCGGCTCTCTTGGGGATCGTTTGCCCGTCTTGGAGGCCATGTCGGCTGTCTTGGAGGTCATCTTGGCCGTCTTGGGGCATCTTGGAGGCCATCTTGGGCGTCTTGGAGGCCTCCTGGTCCGTCTTGAAACCCTCTTGTGGATGGCTTGGAGGCCTCTTGGACTGTTCTGGAGCCATCTTGCAGGCCTCTGGGACGATTTTGGGGACTCACTCTCCCTGGGCCGTCTTGGGCGGTCGGAACACCAAACCGAAGGAGAAGCCAGAATCCTTCAAACACCTGAGGAAAATTAATGACTTTGGCTCCCTCGGGCCTTCCTGGAGAACCTGGGACCATCTTGGAAGCCTCTCGGGCCCGTCGTGG